TTTATTTTTATATAGGGCATAGTAAGATTACTACTCCACCACACAAAACCCTTTTAATTAAATACGGAATGGTGAGAAAGAAATAAGATAAGTCAGAAGCAATTTGGACTAAATTAGCAAGTTTAATTTAGTCATCCCAAATCATTTTGAAGTTTTTGTAAACAATACAACAAAAACCTTGTAACGATCGCTCTGATACCATTCTGTGGTAGAACCTCCTAAATTATAGGACCCACATACATTTGTCACTGTCCAAAGACCTTTGACAACAATGCATATGTTCCTGGTAACTTAAGAAGTCTGTCGGGTGTCCTTGGGGAACCCCGAATCATCCACGATTTCCGAGCAGGATCACGTTACAGAGTCATTGTAGTATTACAACAGTTTATTCAAATAGACACATCAGAGTAAAAGTAGCGGAAGACTTACAATAACATAGTTTACAAACCATTTGTTTCAAACCGTACAACTAAGTTTGATATTAATACAAACCAAAGTAGTGGAGTGGCATTATAATATATTACAAAACACACAACCAAAGCTGCCCTACCCAAGGGCCACACATTTAACTATCGCCATCGCACTGAACGACAGTCATGCAGCACGATCCAAAACAGATCTACTCATGAGACTCACCTGCAACAAGGGTCAACGAACCCTGAGTACAAAAGTACTCAACAAGACTTAACCGAAATAAGAACTGATAACTCAGGAATGCAGGCTCAGGGATTCAAGGTATGGTTTTAGCAATAATTAAAGTTATTTTGCGTAAAAGCTCTTTAACAAAATTCTTTATTTCAACAATTTAAAACTTCATAAAATCATATACAAAGATGACACGATCCGTGATGAGATCATGAAACTTCATATCCAACACCTTCATCAACCATTCTCAAGTTCCAATTATTAATTTCTACGATGATGAACAGTGAGTTGAGTCTCCATAACCGAGGAGCAACGACGATTCGAACCGATTGTAAACCCAGCTGGGGATTCCAGACCACACGACATATGCAGGTCCCTGACCTACATATACCAACCTATTCTCGGATCCTCTAAAACAAGAACGGGTCCGCGCCACCCGAGAATACAAGATTACCACCAATCCAAATTTATTGCCACGTGGGTACACGCTATTCCCCGCCATCTCTCCACTCCCGGTCTTGTGAGTAGCCATTCTCGTAATAGAATTGCCAAGTTCAAAGCTTCTACGAGTATGTGGTTAGTACTACAAATTCTCACCTCATGCAATTCAACAACGGACGTGCCTTAATCGACACAGTGGAAAGATCCCGCTCACAAGACCTCCATGTCTTGTGGCTCACACACACCGAGTCCGCCTGGGTCTAGATTTATTACTCCACATTCCCATATCACATGCTAACATAATTAACCAATGTTCCATTTAAAACTTGCGGTGGCGGTAGTCACCGACTTCATCGTTTCTACGATAGCTAAGCAAAACTAGGCATATACTGAGTTCAAAACCGGTAATATGGTCAATATGGAATAACAAGGGTGGTAATGCACCAATTAGGCTCTTACTTAACTCTTAATCACTTAATGCAAGAACGGAAAGCAAAAGCGAAATTAATTTGTAAAACACAAGGTAGGGTTGTATGCATCCGGGCTTGCCTTCGTTGACGGAAAAAAAGTCCGGCTCTGCGACGTTTCACAAGTCTTCGATCCGACCTCAACAGATGAGATCAACCTCCTCCGCAACTTGATTAACTACCACGTGTTCACCTTCGCTTTACTACACGTAGTAACATTGCCATGTTTAACATGATGCGGAATATGAAACATGATGCTCGATGATGGATGCAAAAATTAATAAATTGGATACAATTTTCCTTCGCAGTACAGTTACAAACCAAACTAACCAAACCATATTCGTAACTGATGTGACCACGCCAGCACCGATCACTACGGTGAACTATCCGACCACTACGGTGAACTATCCGACCACTACGGTGAACTATCCGACCATTATGGTGAACTACCCGACCACTATGGTGAACTATCCGACCACTACGGTGAACTATCCGACCACTATGGTGAACTATCCGACCACTACGGTGAATTATCCAACCACTATGGTGAACTATCCGACCACTACGGTGAACTACCCGACCACTACGGTGAACTATGCGGAGCAAAGATCGTCGGTGAGGGAGAACCGGCGACTGCAGTGATCAAAATGAGTAAACAACAACTGACTAAGGACTACAGCATTGAAACGAAGCCGTAAGTACACTGATTACAGACAACGGCTCACCGAAGGACTCTGGCCACGATGACACGCCCGCAGCGGTGAAGTTGCTGACCTCGAGGAAGAAAAACGTGGACAGCGAGTTCTCGGCAATTTCAGGCGACCAATGATAGTCGGGTCGGATTCGCAAGGAAAAGACGGAACTAGGGCGGCCTTTTACCGAGATGGCAACAATGCATTGGGGGAGACGATCACGAGCTTGATGGAGCGATGACAACGGCGGTGGTGAAAACAAAGGAAGAAGAAAAACGACGATGACGACGTCTTGGTACTTGTAGCGCGGCACAGAAGCTCAAGGAAGCCACGACGGAGCCATTTCCATGCCAGCGCGACATCAAGGACGGCCACGACGCGTCTGGAACGCCGAAGAAGGTCCGACGGCAATGTAGCTTAGGCGGTGAACACTGTTCACAGAAAATTACAAAATTGCCATACGCCAAAATTCACAAATTACTCTCAAATTTTCATAACAACTCAAAAATCTCCAAAAACAAAAGTTGTTCAAAATCGAAAGCTCTACTACTTTGCTTCTATAACCATCTCTTAATTCGGTCTAGATTTTGAAATGAATTTTCAGGGTAGGATTTAAATGCTGAAAAGCGGGGTTTTCTTGAAAAATTCAAAATCCAAACAAACTTTGAACTAGAGTCAACTAATACAATTCAACACATACCACATGAATATAAACTTGTTTTAGTGTATGCATCTCAAAGTTTTCACCAAATGCCAAATGCTTTGCAATGCATATGATGACATGTCAGGTTTTAGTATTTTAAACACCCGAGGTGTTACAAGTCGCTAGTGAAGGGATACAACGGCTCTATTTTTCGTGGGGCTATAAATCAAAGGGGGTCTCGGCCATGGCTGATCGAGAGCACCTTGGGGGATTTTATGTCCGTGCTTGAGAGTGCTTGGGAGCCCTCTAACTCACTCTACCTTGATAGTGTTTATCCGATTGAGTGAGTGCGCGATTCTAGTGCGATTGCATCGTGAGATTTGCATCGAGTGGCACTATGTGGTCGTCTTGCAAGCCTATGTTGCTTGTTACTCTTGGAGGTTGCCACCTTCTAGACGGCTTGGTGGTGGTCTCCGTCGAAGCCGTTAAGAAGTTTGTGCGGTGCTCTGGAGAAGAGCTTTGTGAGGGGCATTGTGCTTGCCCCGCAGGAGCCACGAAGAGCAATTCTACTAAAGCGAGACGCGAAGGGCGACAAGAGGTCCGGACGGGTCAAGTGTTAGAGCTTGTGGTAAGCACTCCATGTGGGAGAGTGTGATTTGTGGGTCACCACTAGCAAGAGGATCGATGGCAACCTTGGAGCTTGTCTCAACGGGGACTAGCATGTTGATAAGCACGTGAACCTCGGGATAAAAATTATCGTGTCGTCCTTGTATTCCCATTGGTTTGCATCCTCGTTATACAAGCTTGTATATACTTTATTTACATTGTACTTGTGTAGTTGCTCTTGTAATTAGTTAGCTTGTGTAGCTTTCTAGTTACCTTCTAGCTAGTGTAGCATAGAAGTAGCTCCCTTGCGTGGCTAATTTGGTTTGTATAACCTTGTTAGTCATATTGCTTAGTTTGTGTAGTTAAGTATTTGCGCTCTCTAATTGGGCATTGGTTGCCTTATTATTGAGCATTGCTAGTGAGCTTAGGTGGCTTTGTGCTTTTGTTTACTAGCATGAGTTGGAGCTCTCTCATTGCTTGAAGTATTAGTGGCATATGTTTGTGTGACCTTACTTCTAGAATTGGTTAGGTGAGCTCTAACTAGCCCGGCACCTTTGTTGCTTAATTAGGATCTTTGTAAGGGCTAGAGAACATAGATAGAGGAGTATAGTCTTGGGTAGACCGATAGTTTTAATTCCGTATTTGTTTCGGTTAGCCGGCGCGATTAAGTTTTAGAAAGGACTATTCACCCCCTCTGATCTGTCATCTCGACCCTACACCATGTCAATTTGACAGAAAATGATGCTGATTTTCCTTTCCTCCTCTTTCCAATTTCCAATATGATATTCCAAATGTATTTGTCCTTCTATATAATTATTAGAAATATTATCCAAGAGCAAATTCACGTTTCTGATCATTTTTTATCATCAACACTTACCCTCTTGAATTTGATAATTGCCTGCAAGAGCTAGTCCATATGTGCAACCAAATTCTAAACAAGTAATTTTTATTTTAATAATTAAACTAGGCACCATGCCTAATTTAATTAAGGAAGACTAATTAACCTAAACACCATGCTTAACTTAAAAGCCTATGAAAGTATGAGCTAAACACCCCCAGACTAAAGCATACTAGAATAGAAAAAGGAAGCAGGATAGACTACACGATAATCATTCAAATAGAGGTGAGAGCATGAATGTGTGGTGCTCCTAGAGCTCCGGGTCAGTACCCCAGGAGCGAGCTCCCCAATGGCGGCACGGTGAGTTGACGTGCCCCGTCATCAAAAGTGGCAAACATAATTTAACTTTTACTGTTTGCGTAGCAAACGGTAATTACCAAACTAATAAAGTTGGTAATTGATAAGTGCTCTCGATAAGGATGGCAAATATTGGCTCCGTTTGCTTGGAGGAATCTGAAGGAATCTAGAGAAATCTAAATGAATTTGTAAGAAAAAAATATTGTTCAGACAGGAAAAAAATAAGCGGATTTTAAAGGCACGCGTTTAAATTTCCCCGACCAAACAGGGTGCTCTTTCCTATCACTTCCGCCGTCGCCGTAAGACTGTCGATGGCCGCAGCCACTGCCACGGTCACCTTCTCGCCGTCTCCCCCATCCTTCCTCAACTCCCACCTCCGTCGTGGCCACCGGCCTGCCTCCACCACGACGATAACTTTTTTCGCACGCCGTTTCCGCGGTGTAAAACCTAGCCCCAACCGCTCCCGAGGCAAGTCCGCCCCGGTCGCCCACCCCGACGATGGATTCGGCGCACTCGAAGCGGAGCTCTGGCGCCTCCGCCGCCTCGTGGAGCTGCAGATCCACCGCTTCGGCACCGAGGCCGACGCCGCCTACCGCGACCTACGCTCGGCGGTGCGCGAGGTCAGCGGGGACCGCGTGGTCCTAACCTTCCGCCGCTCGTCGCTGCGCTACTTCGCCGGAGCGCTCCTCTTCTTGCTCGCCTGCGCCGTCGCAGCGCGAGTGCTTCTGGGGATGGTCTTACGGGCTTGGTGGCGGCGATGGTTGGGGAGGGGATTGTGGGGTGGAGGTGAAGGCGGCAGGGCGGTTGTGCGAAGGAGGGACCGCAGCCTGGGAGGGAAAGAGGTGGTGGTTGCTGTGTCGTCGTCGCCTATGGAGGCAGCTCGGATCAGTCGTGTCCCAGAACCAGCAAAGGAGGTCTGGAGGAGGTACTCACAAGCGAAGTTGCCAGACTGGTGGCCGAAGGTTGGAACAACGGTGATGAAATCTGGACCAGAGATGGAGAAGTGGGCAAGAATGGCAAACAGATTGGTCCGAGGTGAATGCCTGTAAATTTCAATTCTAGGCTGCTGGTATAATTCTGAATGTGTTGCCCTAATGCTTGTCATGATTATTTGAAATTTGCATGATAACTTAGCTCTTGTCATGATTACTACCTTGAAATTGTAATAGTTCTTACAGTTTTGCTAGAAATCTAACAATGACTAAAATTTGACACGTGAATAAGATATTGCGTGTGAATCTTATTATCTTTAGCAATGTACTACATAGTCCAAATGTGAAACAAATAGGAGGAACCTTGTTGTTACTGTATTTGAAATCAAGTTACCCACTTCATACTTGCATTGTGGGATGCTATTATTGTTTTCCATATATATTAATGTACACAATCGGTCAACCAGAATTATAGGTACATATAACATATTTACCCTTTTTCTTTGGGAAGTAAAGTGGATTGTCCTTCGTCCTAGAATTACTTGTTGCTATTACTGAAATTTGTAAATTCTTTTTTTTGTGCCAGCAATAATTGATAATAGAGTCATGGGGAGGGATTACAGATATGATGATGCAATTCAAGTTAGTGCTTTTTACTTTTTAACATTGATGCTATAATCTTTCATATATGCGAATGACTTCTGAGTTGTATCATTATGTTCGAGAAGCATTGATTTCTCTTCTTTAATGCAATGGCATGCGCTTCTCATGTGCATTTGAGAAAAAAGAAGCATAGATTCCCACTTTAAACTGTCCCTTTGTTAGAAGTAACAGATCGATTGTCACATGCTAGAGATGAAGGGAAATTGGAGGAAGGTTTATGGTGATGTCGACAGAATATCGTCGGCAGTCCTCCGAGGGGTATCCCAAGAAGGTAGATTGATTGACAGAGATGCGTGTAATCGAGAATAAGAAGACAACAGAGACACACGAGTTAGACAGGTTTAGGCCGTCAGTATGACGTAATACCCTAGTCCTGTGGTCTGTTGGATTATATTGGCTATCGTATGATATTCCGTGAGTTTGGAGGGGGTCCTTGCCCGCCTTATATAGTCCGGGGTAGGGTTACAAGTCGGTTAGATCTAGAAGATAACCGGAAAGTAATAACGGATTACAGGAATCATGGGATCATACATATCCTAACAGATATCGTAGTATCTTCAGGATATCTTCCTGGTGTCTTGCGGGACGCGCCGAGCAGCGCCGTGCCCCGTAAGGCTTCGTCTTGTGGGCTTGGCTGCCCCTGGGGGCGTAGCCCATGTGGTCTGCTGTGGGTATCCGGGGTCGTACCCCCACAGCTAGTCCCCGAGCGCCTTGTATCCATTGTGCAACGCCATCTTGAGCTTGTCCGAGCTGGTGCGAATAAAGCCGAGCAGTCAAACTCATGGTCCGACCACCGTGATGAGTTGCCGAGCAGTTGTGAACCGTCGCCGAGCAGTGAGAACCGTCGTCGAGTTGCGTGAACTGTCGCCGAGCAGCGTGAACCGTCGCCGAGCAGCGTATCCCAAGTTAGGCCAAGGTAAGCGACTGAAGGCACCCCGAAGGAGCACTTCGAGCACTTGAGGTGGAGGCGGTGCGCCCGGAGCGTGTCCAGGACGAGGTGGATGTGCTGCAAAATGTTCGTCCCACGACGAGCTGTAGATCAGTTTGTCGTCTAAAACACAAGGATGAACCTACGCAGGAACGGCCGAAGGACGTTGGTCATCAGGACCTGAAAGCTGGCCGGTGCGTTGGTGAGGCCAAAAGGCATCACCAGGAACTCAAAGTGTTCGTGATGTGTGCGAAACGCCGTCTTTTTTATGTCCTCCGGGTGCATGCGCACCTGGTGATGGCCCGAGCGGAGGTCGAGCTTGGTGAAGAAGCGGGCGCCATGGAGCTCGTCGAGGAGCTTATTGACCACCGGGATGGGGAACTTGTCCTTGGACGTCTTGTCGTTGAGCGCGCGGTAGTCGATGCAAAAGCGCCAAGAATTATCGGCCTTCCGCACGAAGAGGACGACGCTGATGTGCTGGGCCGAATGACGCCCTAAGTGAGCATGGCATCACACTGTCGCTCCAACTCATCCTTCTGGAGCTGCGGGTAGCGGTATGGCCGAACGGCGACGGGGTGCCGGGCAGCAGGTGGATACAGTGGTCGTAGGGGCGCGTTGGAGGCAGACCGCACGGCTCCGCGAAGATGTCGTCGAACTGGCGGAGGAGGCGGTCCAGCAAGGGCTGGTCAGGTGCTGCAGCCACCGCACGGGCCGTCGGCTCCCGAATGTCGTCACGGGGGGAGCCGAGGCCCTTCCACAAGATGCGCCGAGAGCCCCGCGTGAAGGCCATGCACAAATCCTCGAAGTCCTAGGGGATAGGGACGAGCGTGCGGAGGAAGTCGACGCCGAGGATGACATCAAAACCGCCGAGGTTGATGTCGAAGCAACTGATGGAGAACTCTTCTGTGCCGATGGCCAGCGCCACATCACGGGCGACCCCTTCACAAGGCACTCCGTCCCCGTTGGCCACCAAGACCCTCATGGTGGGATGTGGCGCTGTGGACAGGCGTAGGCAGTGCATGTGGTCGGCGTTGATGAAGTTATGCGTGGAGCCGGAGTCGAGAAGCGCCACAAGGCAGTGGCCGTGGACGGAGACAGGTAGGTGCATGGTGTTCTCCGTCTGAATGCCAGCGATGGCGTAGAGGTAGACTGTCGGCTGGGCTGCTGCATCTTGCGTAGCCTCAGGGGCAGCAACCTCCTCTTGGAAAGCAGTCACGACGGCCACCTCAGCAGGGACGTCGTCGTCAAGGAAATCGGCTGGCTCCAAGTAGAAGAGACGCTGGCACTGATGGCCGCGGACATAGGGCTCGTCACAGTTGTAACAGAGCCCCTGGCGACGGCGCTCAACCGCTTTCACCGGCGTCTTCCGATGGAAGGGGACGAGCGAGTGATTGGTGGCCATTGTTGGGGAGGCGAAGCGGCCGCGCCGCGCGCGTGCTGTTGTCATCTCTTCTTTGGCCGACCGAGGAGGCGCTGGTAGGCCTAGGCGCTGTGGCAGTCATGCCCCACACTAGGCAGGGGCCGGCGTCGTGGCCGTGGCACGGCGCTCGAAGGCCCGTGCCAGATGCATGGCCGCCTGGAGATCTTGAGGCTCGCGCAACTCCATGTCAACCTTGATGTGCTCCGGTAAGCCTCCCACAAAGAGTTCCACCTTCTCGGGGGCGAACAGGTTGCGGGCATGGCACAACACCGCATTGAAGCAGTCAGAGTAGTCCTGGACTGTCGACAGGAACGACAGTCGGGTAAGCTCGGACAGGCGGGTGCCACGAACCACCGGCCCGAAACGGAGGTTGCAGAGCTCCTTGAAGCGATCCCAGGTGGGCATGCCTTCGTCTTGTTCGAGTATGTAGTACCGTGTGCAGGCGCGCCGTCGATTGATAAGACGCGAGCGAGACCGCGGTTCGCTGCGAGTGCGCTGTCCATGGAAGAACTGCCCACAATAGTTGAGCCAGTTCAGGGGATCCTCGGTGCCGTCATATGTCGTGAACTCAAGCTTGTAGAAGCGCGGAGGAGCCATGCTCGGGCCGGCTACGTGGACGGCCTGCTCTGGAACTCCGCCTAGTATATGGCGCGACGCCCGATCGGGCGGCACACCAAGCAGTCTGACAAGCGCCGCCATAGAGAAGGGTCCCGTCCGAGCCCCCGTAGAAGGTGCCATTAGTGTGTTGGTACTGGTGGCTCGGCCCACCGAGCCGGGGCGTGGCGCTGGTGGTGGTTGCTGACGCGATCGTCGTGGTAGTGAAGGGCGGCGCCGTGGTGAACACTGGCCCGGTTGTTGGCGCCATGACATAGGACGGGATCGGCGAGGGGGCCGGCGGCCACCGCATCTGATGGAGCGGAACTGGGGCTGTGTTATGTGGCCAGCTGGGATGGACATGGGAGGGTGTGCTACAGTACCGCGACGCTACAGTGTCCACGGGTACTGGGGGCTAGGGCTGCAAGTAGCGGGGGGAGGCCGGCGCAGGGCTTCGCCACCACAGTAGAAGCAAGAGAGAAGGGATTTCCTTCTAATCTCTTGCTTGATTAGATTGATACATCTCCTCTCCTTATATAGAGAGGTTTACTTGACTCCTAAGCAAGCGACTAATTAACCCTAATGGGCTAAGGCCCAATAGGCCCTTGACTCCTCTAACACTACTCCCCACTCCGGGACATGCACGGCTCCTCGAGTCAGCTGCGACCTAACAATGATGCTAACTATGGCTTCACTGGACACAAATGAACACCTAAGAACAAGCCTTTTACATCTCGGCTTATTTCAAATAAACTCGACTCTTTATTCTTGACTCCACGAAGATCGGCGGACACCCTCCACGTCTTTGGGCAGGCTCGTGTAGCCGCTGGATCCCATGGAGACCATCGAAGCGAGAGGGTTGCACGGTGCACGATGCGGAATCAATCGCATAAAGCGACCACGGAGACGACCTCGTGGCGTACCGACGACAAATAAACGCTGGCGGCGCTAGGCGAAGTGTCTCCGCCGATGACAAAGAGGAGTCGCGCTTTTCTATCATCACTCCCATAGAATCGAGAGTCGCCGCTTGCGGAACAACACCATGCTCGCGCTGGAGAGACAGCGAACGGTCGGCGCGCGCGGTTGTTGTTGGCCGTTCGACGGGCGTCAGTCGTGCCCCTCTGCCGAGGTCGATCGCCGTCAAGGCCGCCTCATGCATCTGCCGGCGCATCTCCTGCGATCGGCGTCGCGCTAGGAGGCCACGTCTTTGCAACTATGTCGCCGTCGCCGCAGACCGACAATCACTCTTCTGCGCAAGCGCCACGTGCCTGCAATTCTTTGCCGATGGCGATATAATCGCCCGGCAGTGCACCTGTGAATGGAGGCACCGCACGCGCGAGAGGGCGAGGCCGCCGCCGATCGCGCGCCGCGGATGAGAACACCGTCTGCCGTCATGCGCCAATGTTATGGACGAGGGTCGCGAGGGCGTCCATCTGGCGCCGCAGTGGTCGAAGGTTGCCATCCACTCACCGGCGCTGTGGGAGGTGCAGTGGCTGCTGCTAGGTGAGCAAAGGCGCCACAATAGGCGTGGCGGTGGTGAACATGGGCGGAGCTGCGGAGGACAGGGCCAGCGTAGCCCAAGGATGTGTGCCGAGGGGCGTGGAGATGGGCACGGCGGCGTAGGATCCGGCCGGTGTCATTGCGGAGAAACGAGGCCAGCGCAGCCCCTGGGATGTCTTGGCCGGCGGTGTGAGAAGGGCACAATGGCGTAGGATCCGGTCGGCGGCGGTCGCGGAGAAACGAGGCGCCGCGCCGGGATGTCTTGCCGAAGGTGTGGAGAAGGGCACAGCGACGTAGGATCCAGCCATAGTCTCTGATACCAGATGTTATGTGGCCAGTTGGGATGGAGATGAGAGGGTGTGCTACAGTACCGTGACGCTACAGTGTCCGCGGGTACTGTTCACAGCGGCGGCGGCTAGGGCTGCAAGGGTGCTGGGGGAGGCCGGCCGCGGGGCTTCGCCCACGGCCGGCAAGAGAAGGGATTTCCTTCTAATCTCTTGCTTGATTAGATTGATACATCTCCTCTCCTTATATAGAGAGGTTTACTTGACTCCTAAGCAAGCGACTAATTAACCTTAACGGGCTAAGGCCCAATAGGCCCTTGACTCCTCTAACAGGCTGTCACCTGGATGAAGCCGGCACGGTTGCTTGCACGCCCTGGAACTGAAGTGCCGTCGTGCCGTACCCTGGCATCCCATAAGGGAAAACAGGCGGCAAGAAGGTTGTGGCTGATGGGGGCGGCTGCCTATGTGTCTCCACGCTGGCAAGGCGGGAGTAGATGTCAGCGACGGAGCGAGCAAGATCGGCGACCGCCTTGACTAGGGGGTCAGGAGTCGACGAGGAAGGTGTAGTCGGCGCCGAGGAGATGGGCGGCGCAGACGTGGTGGCTGGCGGTGCAGAGGTGGCGGCAGGCGACGACAGGGTGGTGGTGGGAGGACCCGACATCTTTGATACCAGATTGATAGGACTAGGAGTCCTATCGGAGTTGCTGCGTAGATTGTAGGGATGGAAGTGAGGAGGGCGAGGTCCTAGGAAGCGGCGGCAGCGAGTTGGCGTCGTGGTGATCCACAGCGCCAGCAACAGAGAGGGGTGGCGGCTAGGGCTTCAGGGAAGCCGTGCAACCAATATTGTTGATTTGCTTAATTTCCACAATAATGTTTACAAGATAGATATATATATATATATCCGTTCTAAGCAATCTATTTTAAGAAATAAATATCCTATTGGGGAAAATAGCAAATAATAAAGCATAAGGATAACTGGGCTATTAGCTCATCTAATCTAGGCGCCATCTATTGATCTAGGCGCCACTTAGCCACGCCGGCGCCTGGCATATTGGATGCCGGTAGTAACATTGTCGAACTCGTGGAAGAGGGTCACCATGTGGTCATCAGCCGGCCCAATAGCGTCATTGCGGATAGACAATTGGTGGCATCGATGGCTCGATGCTCGTCTTGAGCATGCAGTTTGCTGATAGCATAGCTATTTGCTTTCTCTATTTAGTAACTAGATAGATGATACCCTGCGCATTGCTGTGGGATTTTAGAGGTTTGATGTTGTGAGAAATAGTAAAATTTTGAAAGGAAATATATATTTTTATAATGTAGTGAGAAATAGTAAAATGATGGAAGAAAATATATTATTTAATTATTTTAATGATTAGACGATACACCGCGCGTTGCTGTGGGACTTCAGGAGGATTTAGTGAGAAATAGTGAAGTCATGGAAGGGAATATACTATTTTTATTAGAGTCTTCCATGCAGCAATTGCTGTGAGCTCATCGGTGCCTTTCATTTGCTTATAATTTGGTAGTGTTAAATTTGGTTTGGTCACCGTTGTTCTTCTTTTTGTTTTCTAGCCGAGAGCGATATTTTTCTCATACAACATTCCAAAGCATGAACAATGTTTTCCAAAGATGAACGATAAATAATCCATTCGATTCGAACACCGCCTTTGTTGTCTGGTGTGAAATTGGAACCTTGCAGTTGTAGAATGTAGCCACAATGGTTAAAACACCAAAAATAAAATAGCATTATGGAATAGTCGTTCTGTATGATATCTTTTTTTTCTCGAATACGCAGGAGAGTTGCGTATCATTGTATTAAGAGAAAAAAAACTATCCCGTACAATTATACCCCCTACTCCGGACCTGTTGGTCCCTCGCCTCCCTGCACAGGTAAGCAACTTGCTTACCAGCACACACACACTCACTATGGCTAGAGGTAGAAGAAGGGGTTGAGCTCAAGCGCATACACACAGCACAAGCACCAGCGCTGGCCAGAGCTCTGCTCTTTTGGTTTGTGGCAACTTCTGAACTGCCTTTTTTCAAACTCAATGCTTTAGATCCTCCACTTCCGCCTTGAGTTTGAAGGGGATGTTAAGTGAAGGCCCATCTACTATTGGCCCATATGTGTGTCTATATATACCTCTCCACTGATGGAGTGATTATTCATCTTCTCAGATTAGAGGTTTGATGTTGTGAGAAATAGTAAAATTATGAAAGGAAATATATATTTTTATAATGTAGTGAGAAATAGTAAAATGATGGAAGAAAATATATTATTTAATTATTTTAATGATTAGATGATACACTGCGCGTTGCTGTGGGACTTCAGGAGGATTTAGTGAGAAATAGTGAAGTCATGGAAGGGAATATACTATTTTTATTAGAGTCTTCCATGCAGCAATTGCTGTGAGTTCATCGGTGCCTTTCATTTGCTTATAATCTTTGTTGTCTGGTGTGAAATTGGAACCTTGCAGTTGTAGAATGTAGCCACACTGGTTAAAACACCAAAAATAAAATAGCATTCTGGAATAGTCGTTCTGTATGATATCTTTTTATTTTCTCGAATACGCAGGAGAGTTGCGTATCATTGTATTAAGAGAGGAAAAAAATTGTCCCGTACAATTATACCCCCTACTCCGGACCTGTTGGTCCCTCGCCTCCCTACACAGGTAAGCAACTTGCTTACCAGCACACACACACTCACTATGGCTAGAGGTAGAAGAAGGGGTTGAGCTCAAGCGCACACACACAGCACAAGCACCAGCGCTGGCCAGAGTTCTGCTCTTTTGGTTTATGGCAACTGAACTGCCTTTTTTCAAACTCAATGCTTTAGATCCTCCACTTCCGCCTTGAGTTTGAAGGGGGTTGTTAAGTGAAGGCCCATCTACTATTGGCCCATATGAGTGTATATATACCTCTCCACTAATGGAGTGATTATTCATCTTCTCAGATTTCCAAGGTTAGTAACAGGATGCTCAAGTGATGCCAAGACAAGACAGTGTCGCTTGGATTCACACTGCAACCAATCCTCTTCTCTTGTCAATAACCAGCTGTCTCTTGCGATTTCTAGTGGATGTAAGATTTCACGGGCTGTTCCAAGCTGTGCACTGATATTACCAACTTTTTTCTAACTCCAAGATTGAAGAGCACGCGCTAGCCTTTTGAGCTTAATTGAGATATGGTCAAGAGGACAGCTGGTTGTAACCGGCGTGGACCAAGATTGCTCTACAGCTTCGTGGAAGCCCTCAAGCTTGGTCCAGAAACTCTCAAAGTGAAATCTCTTTTTGCCTTGAATTCCTTCCTTGAGACCGAGTTAGAGAGGGCAATGATCAGATATCTCGGTAGCTTGACTCTGCAAAATGCACTCTGGATACAATGCTTCCCAGTCTGCCGTGCAAAGGACACGGTCCAATTTAACCAGGGTAGGGGCATCTCTTTCGTTGGACCAGGTATAGCGTCTTCCCATCAGTGGAATTTCCTTCAGCTCTAGATCAATCACTAGCCGGCGAAATCGACCCATCATCGTTCTGTTTAAGTTTTCATTGTTTTTATCCTCGGCCGAGTAAATCATGTTAAAATCACCAGCCATCATCCATGGCCCTCCACAGTTAGCCCGCACTTCCCTGATTTCATCTAGGAAAGCAATCTTCTCAGCATCTTGATGTGGTCCATAAACCCTGGTGAACCACCAAACATGCTCATCGCCGGACTTAAATTTGACTGACACCGAATGCCGCTGTACGTGCCATACATCAGCCTCAAACACTCCATCGTGCCACGCAATAAGGATGCCACCACGAGTTCCTTGTGCAGGGAGGAAAACAAACTTTTAAAAGTCTCGACCAAGAATGGACATGACATCCCAGAGAGATATGTGGGCAAGCTTAGATTCCTGCAAGCATACAACTGCTGGGCGACAAGAATCAACGACCTTGCGAACATTGTCTCGTCGAGCCTGTTTATTAAGACCTCGAACATTCCACACCAAAAAATTTGGGGAATCCATTGGAAAAGAAATGTGACCATAGATTCAAAGAATTACACAGCCATAGCGTCTTCCACGGGGACGCCGAGCACATCTGGCAGCACCTCTTTGCCCAGGAGCTTAGCAAGGGCAGTCACATGGCTCTTTGAGAGAGGTTTGTCGAAGAAGCGAGCGCATTTTTCTTTGGAGGCTTCTGAGTGACAGCTATGGTTCTCCGCAAAGCCTAGTTGTCGACGTACTGTCCCGGCTGCTTGTGGGTTGGTTTCTGGCGGCAGCTTGGCTATCCGCCTACTTCGCCTTGGAGGGAGAGTTGAAACAGTGGGTTGGCAACGATGCTTCGGAATAGCTGGGGTGGAGAGAGTTGGCAAGGGCCTGGAGATCCGGTGGATGAAATCCTCCGTAGGCCCCAATTCTACAACTGTCTCGGTATGCTTCTTTCTTGGACGCCTTGAGTAGACGAGAATGCCTGCTTCACCTGATTGCTGGACAGGCGCCTCATCATGAGAACTCAGTTCCATGGGTAGCACTTCTTCCGCTGGTCTCCAGGAAAAAGTAACAGTCTCTTCAATAGAATGTTCATCGAGTTGCTCAGAGGTACGGTTGTATGGGGGTGTCATACACTGCTCGGTAGTGTGATCTTCTCTGGCCATAGGGTTGGCTGCAGCCTCGACCGCAGGGGGACGCGCTCGTTTCGCCGCCTGCACCCTGTATGATATCTGAATTTATATTTGTATAGTTGTGAGGATGACATTGAAGTAGAGGAAAAGCAAAAAAGAAGACCTGGAGACTCAATCAGTTTTGTTGCTTGATCATAGTGTCAAATCCTTAACCATATCTTTCGAATCATATTTTCATTTATATTAGGCAGCGAGGAACTTCATTACCTACCACCAAACTGGGAAATAAGTACATGTATACATATTTCGAATGTAGTAGATAAGTATTAAAGTGTAGTTGTGCTTGAGAAGGTAAACTAAGTCAGCTGTTAGTAAACGAATGTATCAGAAATAAGAAAGTACCTGCAAAGTAAGACCTGCTGATGTGGCAGTTCTAAAGTCAGAAAATTTATCAATACATAGAAGGTAATGGAAGGAAACCTCTGAATGTCTGATCTTCTGAAGTAGCCCAATATGACCTTGAAACTGCAGACCATCATATACGCTTGTCGATGGCTTGGCATATCTCTGATGCTCTTCTCAACAGTGGTTGCGAGGACGTCTTGAAGAGGAGGCCATGTATTTCACGACACTGATGTGAATGTGATCAAAACAGGTGAGGAATAATTCTTCTCAACAGTGGCTGTGAGGACGCTTTGGCAGAGGAGGTTGTTAATTTCATGGCACTGATGTGAATGTGAAAAAATGGTGAGGAACCATTCTGAGGAAAAAATGATGAGAAGACATGATTGGTGTGCAGGCAATGGTGACCATCGGTGTTGTCTTGGGAGGTTAGAGCCACAACAAAGTTTGATGAGTGGTGACCATGAGACCATCCAATCAGGTGGTGCTGTGGCTGTCAGCCAACAGGTGAAAACCTTTCCATGGTGAAGGAGAACTGGATATGATGGGAATGAGATAGTTGATGAAGCCGCTTGCCTGCCTGTCTGTGATTGATAATGAAGGCAAAGGTCATGGTCGATCTCTTAATGCCCACGGCAGTTGGTAAAGGTGAGTGGACGCAGAGCTGCAAACTGATTGGGACTGGGGAGAAATGTGTTCTGAGTTTTGGTGAGCTTCTTGCCCGCCTGTCCGTGGTGTGTCATTATCATGGCGGTGTCAGTTTCATCTTTCTCCAATCTCCATCTGGACGTTGAGGCGAAACACTTATGAGGGAAGAAGCTACCAAGCAAGTAGCATTAAACTGCGAACCTAAATGAAGTTACTTTGTCCCCCCTTATATGACCATACAAGCTTTAGAAGTTGTTTGTTCCTTTTATTACACAATGAACCTAACAATTGCAGATGGTAATGTTATGCTTAGCCATAGTTCTGAGCAGACGTATGATTTATTTGGGTAAATAAATTAAACGTATAAGTTTCACAATCTTTGGTATACCTGAATTTATTTTGGATTGATGCTGCAATTTGTTCCATGTGCTTGTCAGCATTGTGTAATCATGCTTTGATATGCAGCTTAGGCAATTATGCAAGATATCGGGGGTAAAGGTCTGCTTTGATACTGAAAATGCTCGTGATTCTTTCTACAGAGCAGCAGTGAACTTTGTTTTAGATGATTGCAGCAGGTATTTATTGCTTTTGTTCAAAGAATCTGTTTTGGCTTCAGTTACTCCGTTCATCAGCTATTTGTAAATTTCTGCTGCCAGACAGTTTTTTTTTTAATTTTACGTATTTCTTTGTACATACTGTTCTTATTTTATCATTGCCATCCACCATGCTTGATCTGGACTCGTTGATATTTTGTGCTTAATAAAGAGCAGCAAAAGACATCGGTGCAGCAAAACTTAATGGTGAGGATCCAAGGGAGTTTCTCGCCGGTCTTGCTAGCAATATTGGATTAGACAAGTTTCGTGCTGCCACTCTTGTATGTGCATCAATTGCTACTCGTACACGGACATGCTTCTTGCAATGCTGGGTATGGATTTACCTATACGTAGCTGCAGGGATTCCATGTTCTTACAATGTTGATTCCATGTTTTTTTCGTCCCTAGGCTCTAGAGATTCAAGGAAAACGGCCAGAAGCACTGGATGAACTTGTGAAGATTTGTAGAATTCATTATATATTTCCTCCAGAGGACAATTCTGTATGTCGTTTTGTTTTAAGCTTGAAAGCTTGTCTTTTGGCATTACATTTGTTCTGCATTCATTCTATTTTCACCCCTTTGTGTACTCTGTGTCTTGATGTGCTGGTTGAACTGTGTGGGTTCAAAATTGTGCATCTGGACCTGTGTAGGAGTATAACTAGACAATATTAATTCTTTGTTAGTTAAAGGCTTATTAAAACTAGGAAGCAAGTCCAAGTAAGTTGCTTATGTCCTGTGCGCCTGAGCTAGGACATAGCATGTTTAGACCTGGAGGCCTGAAGCAGCAGATGATGCCTCATATAAAGCTTGGATTTTTTGTGCCAGTTTGATTGATATTTTTGTCGTGCCTCTGTTAAATAGTTTCCCTGGTACATAGCTGAGAGCATATATTTGTCACTTGTATGCAAGATGATTATTTATTTGTCTGAAGAAATCCAACATCCTGTATGCACTGTTCGGTTTTGTTACTGCATTGTTATCCTTACAAGCATAATCGCATTTTGTTGTTTCGTACAGGCAGAGATGGAAATGGTGGCTGCTGGACTAGAAAAGAATTTGCATGTTGCCGAGAGGGTTCACCTTCTATATCTATACAGGAGCGCTTGTACTGCTGGTAACGTAAAAACAGCTGCAGAAGCTCTTGGTCTGGTAAGTAGTTTCTGTTAGAAATGCAGCTTAGATCTATTGCTATGTGAAGGGCTGGATATAATCATGTACAAAGTACAGATACCACCCTATACTAGTGACTAAAAGGGGCTGTTTGCTTCTCACCCCGGAAAGCATGCCTGACCCACGCAAACCAAACACGCCCTAAGAGCATCTCCAGCAGTCCTCCCATATGATTCCCCAATAAAGTGGTAATGGGGCTACTGCAATACAATATCCAGTATTATTGGGGGATGCTTTTGCAGTCTCCCAATATCTCATCCCCAAGGCCTTGTCCTTCAACCATTGGACCAAAATGTACGTTTGAGATTTTGTCTACCTCTTTCACCCACACTCTTCTCTCCCTCTCTTTTTTTTTTCTTTCCTCGAGCAGCAACAATCCGTACTGGCAATCAAGGTAGTAAGGCGACAAAACAAGGAGGACCTTTTGCTCGGTAGTAGGCACTGATTGAGAGGTTTGAGGAGTAGAAGAATCACTCAAGCTTAGAGAGGAGCATCGGTTGTGGCCCTTGCAGCCATGTTCTTGTGAAAAGTTGGCTCCTCATGGCCTAGCCGGCCACAATGGCCTCAAAGAATAGAAGAAGTCCGCCACCAGCTAGGGCTGAGGCAGCGAGGGAGGCGGGCAACAAAGACACTTGTGAGGTCGTAGCAGCTAGCATGTAGGGCTACTGTCCTGTTGCTGAGCCTGACTCACACCACCAGTGCAAAGACACATCTCCTCGCCCTATAGCTCAGGCATTGCCTCGGCAACTGAACAGTCTTGAACTCAGGACAAAGCCGAGAGAGGAACTCATGAAGACGGAGAGTCTCTTTGACTCCGGTGACAGTCACAACACTTGCAACATGCAAGTGTTCGCACCACAGAACTCAGCTCCCAAGCTCTCCACGGTTAAGCTAGAAGTCTAGCTGACGAAGCAACTCTATATAAGATACATAGCCTCGTTACGGACCTCATAACTACCACGAAGCAGATACGTGGAGGCAAGACCCTTGAGAGACATTGAGAGATCAATCGCAATGCTCGCAAGCAAGATGGCCTTAGCACAGGCTTTCTCACACAGCCAAGTGTCATAGACAGCAAGATCAGATTGATAGGCCTCCATCATAATCCACCTCCAATCGGATAGTCTTGATGGCATCCTCAACATTGGGGGGATACGTGGGTGGTGTGTAGAGAATCGGACATAGCAGACATTTTCGCCTCACCAGTGAGATAAGCCCATAGCTGCTGCCCACCCATATGGATCTCCGTGTGAAAAACAAACTCTCCTTAATTGGTGCCACTGAAAATAATCGGGCATCAAGGAACATGAATGGCATCAAGGCACAACCGTCTTGTCTCTCCTCTCTTTTTGTGGAGCTACCAACGGCCCAGAGTGCAGATGTGGCTACCGTTCAGGGCTTGCATGGCCAGCGTATGTGGTGGCCGCGAATGGGGTTGTGCGACCTGTGGAGGCGGGAAAAAAAGAGGGGAGGGAAAAAAGTGGAGTTGCTTGCCGGGGAAAGCTTGCCATCCGGCGGCGACGGCAGCAGCCAAGTGAGGATCGAATCCTATCATTAGAGCTCTGTTACTATGTTACCATGTTTTGGCTTTTCGAAATACATTGCTTTTATTATATATCTAGACATAGTGTATATTTAAGTACATAACAAAATGTATGTATCTAGAAAAGTAAAAACATCTTATAATATGGGATGTAGGGAGTACATCTAACAGTTTCCATACACGTGGCTTATCCTGCACCATGAAAACTTGTGTTACATTGTAGAGATCACACTGAATGGGAACTCTTTACCTAAATACTCCATCCATCCTAAATTATAGGTTGTTTTTGTTTTTTTAGCTTTTACTATGCACCTAAGGTATATGCTATGTCTAGACATATATAGTAAAAATTATGTTTCTAGAAGAGCCAAAATGACCAATAATTTGGAACGGAGTGACTACTTATTTGTATTCGACTGAAGTAAGCACATTGGAATTTTCTCTAATGTGTAACTAGTAAAGTGACAACATGTGGCACCACCTATTTTTCAAATATGTTTTTTGGTCTCACGAACCTATCTGTTGCATATACACTCTTGAATTATACGATTATACGTGGGGTTAAACTATCTTTATGATGAAATGCAGCTGAACAAATTGATTGAATTGAAATATTAAGAGCATAGAAATAAATTACCAACTATGAGCCATGATTTATTCGTTTCTGGCCATATTTCTGCTTATTTCTCCTACGGAGCCTGCTCTATTGTTTAGCTTGGACAAGGTCTATTAAAAAAATCAGACACTATTTTATCTTATTATTGTCCTGATTTCTTATGCAGAGTTTGCCAGATGAATGAGAATACACCAGAAGGATTAGTTATGCTTACATTTGTAGTCCGTGTTGCAACGCCCATTCATCAACCACAGATGGAGGCTTTGAATCCCCTGACGCAGTTTTGGTATTCCTACTTTCTTAACATGCAGTATGCTACCAAGACAAGAATCAAGCATACTGCAGATTTCCTTGTCATCAGATTCTTAGGGACAGATCCGCATGAGGCCCCAAGACTAATGCTGAATCATGATCCGTTCATGGACTTTTAATATAGAGGGGTGCTATTTAATATATTTTTTTGAAAGCAAAGACTCGCAACTTTATTACGTCTCAGGTGGATCATGAAGGTGACGAACCGCTAAAGAAATTACTAACTCTGGGAGGGGATTAATCCAAACATAGGATTGATCCGGGTCCCATAACAGACCACAGCGAGCTAACTCATGTGCACAAACATTACAAGACGTGTAACATAATTTACATCAAAAGAAATGAACTGGGTGTCTAGAAGAAATTTAGCTTCTCTAAACAGAGTACCTCTAGCTAAAAGATCATAGTTAGGAGATTTGAGGGCCTTTACCAAAACCATAGAATCCGATTCAAGCTGAATTTGCATCATTCCTTGATCAGCTGCCGCGGTGATAGCTATCAAGCATGCATGCGCTTCTGCACATAGAGCATCATGAACATTATTCAAAATTTATGTGCCTGTCAGAATCACGGATCCTTCATGATCCCTCACAACAAAACCCCAGGCTCCACTCTTTCTGTCCTGGATAAAAGAACCATCCAAGTTAATTTTCACATATTCAGAGTTTGGCGGACACTAGCGTACCTTTTCTATCATCTGTTTTACACCTTTCTCTTGCCACTACATAGAGCAAGAAGGGTTTATGGACATGGCTCTATGTACAACCTCCGCTGTCGACCACAACTGTTTGCTAGCATTGCCTTATTGCGTGCCTCCCACCATGAAAAAAGGAGTCACATTACTTTCATCTTTGCTTCTTGCTGTAAAGATAGGATTTTCAGCACCATATCCTTTGCTGAAGTTGACTCCAAAAGATCAACGCGGATATGTTCTATGGATAAAGCTATCCAACATTTTTTCACCATTTTACATTTTAGAAAGCAATGCCCTCTATCTTCATCAAGACGCCAACAGACTGGGCATCGTGTGGTTGACACGTAAGCCTCCAGATATTACTCCACTTGAAAGATATTCCAGTAACCTCAGTGTTGCTTGACTCACCTCTTTGCTTATTTTTCTTCATATCTTTGTTATCCGCTAGAACATGATATGCTGATTTCACTGAGAAGCGCCCTTTTGAATCAAAGTGCCATGCCAAGTTATCCATCATACGTTGCTTCAGAGGAATAGCCAAAATATTTTTTGCATCTTGCTCCGAGCAAATATCCTTCACTAAAGCACTATCCCATTCACCCATAGTTGGGTCAACCAACTCAGACACTTTAGTCACAATTATGTGTCCTCTTGGAGTAGCTGGTCTTCTTGTGACGCCATTTGGAATCCAGGGGTCTAACCATATATTAATTTGTGTGCCATCGCCAACACACCAGATTAGACCATCTTTGAGTGCCTGTACCCTGCGGACAATGTTTCGCCATGAATAGGAAATTCCTGGTTTTTCAATAACAGATAGTAGATCTCCACTTGGAAAATATTTAGCACGCAGGACTTTGAGCACATAAAGAGCTTTGGTTCAAGTGGAGACGCTAGCCATGCCGTGCTAGCATATCAAGGTTGAATAAATAGAGGTCTCTATAGCCCAAACCTTCTTTGTCCTTCCTACAGCTCAGGACTTCCTAGGAAAGCTAGTGCACCTTATTTTCATTCTCTTGTTGAGCCCACTAAAAACGGCATATCATATTGCTAATTTCATCACATAGACCCTTTCTAAGATCAAAGCATGACATTGCACAAGTCAGGATAGCTTGTGCTACTGCCTTGATAAGGACATCTTTGCCGGCCTTTGATAAAAGCTTTTCTTTTCACCCCTGAATTCTTTTCCACACCCTTTCCTTTAGATAAGCAAAAGTTTGTTTCTTTGATTTTCCCATATAAATTGGCAGCCCCAAATATTTCAAATTTTAGGCTTCTGTTGAGATATTCAAGACTGACACTACCTGTGACTTTTTGGCATTCTTTGTGTTTTACTGAACATGACTGAGGACTTGTCTTTGTTGATGGTTTTCCCCGAACAATCTACATACAAAGAAAGGATATTTTGTAGATGGTTTGCACTCCATTCATTAGCTTTCAGGAGTAGCAAAGAGTCATCTGCAAACAATAAGTGATTGATGCTCGGCGCATTTTGGCATACTTTAATACAGATAGTTCCCCTGTAGTTTCTACAGCAAGCAGCAAACATGAAAAAGCTTCAGCACATATCAAGAAAAGATAGGGGGACAGAGGATCTCCCTGTCAAAGACCCCGTTGTGGACTAATTTCTTCACTGAGCTTGCCATTAATTTTGATGCGATAGCTTACTGTAGTCACACACTTCATGATAAGATCAATCCAATTCTCACTAAAGCCCAGGCTGCCCATCATCATCCTCTGGAAATTCCATTCTACTCGGTCATATGCTTTATTCATATCTAGTTTGAAAGCAGCATACCCATCAATACCCCTTCTTTTGGTCTGTATATAGTGTGTCATCTCATAAGCCAACAGAACATTATCAGTAATAAGTCT